CAGGATTGGCTCTGAAGCTCCTTTGTGGACTGATGAAATCAGAGCCCAGAACCCTTTAGGACAATGCAGAGGATATGGCTGTTTGAACAGTGAACCAAGAATAAGCACATTAAAAGGCAAGATAAACCGGGCATAGTGGTACACACTTGTTATCCCAGCATCTTGGGAGGCTGACACAGGAGGACCGCAAGTTCAAAGCCAGCCTCAGCAATGGCGAGGCTCTAAGCAACTCAGTGAGACCCTGTCTCTAATAAAACACCAAATAAGGCCAGGGTTGTGGCTCAGTGGTTAAGTGCCCTGGGTTCAATCCCTGGTTCAAAAAAAAAAAAAAGGCAAGATAAAATATTTACCTGGTCTCAAGGCACTGGACTTTTCGGCTCCACTAGAAGAGCAGTTCTGGGAGGAAAAGGAGAGGCTTCCTGGAAGGAGTGGGAGACAAATATGGAGAAAGTGCAGATGATGGGTGCAGCTTTGGATTTAACTTGAGAGACCAAAGAGAGATGGGCCTGAAGAGTGGGACTGATGCCAACCTAAGTCTTATTTGGCCTCCTGCCCAGGTCTGTGTCTAACTCACCAATCAGAGACAGAGCCCTTGTTCCACCCATCGTGGGTCATTTCCCACACACTATCTCTTCTACACACTTGCCTGGGATGTTCTGTTGTCCTGGGCCTCAGAAAGAGGCTGTTACAAGTACTCCCTCTAATAGGCAGAAAAGATGGATCCCTTTATCTCCTGGCAAAAGCACTTTGCTTTGACTTCCCAGTGTTCCCTGCATAGAAGCTGCACAAAGCCTGTGCATTCTAGAGGAAAATTCCATTGGTGCCTTCTAGATACCAATGTGTCTTCTTGGCATAATCCAATCTCCTTAATATGCTGTAATAAATCTGAAATATCCTGACAGTAAATTTCACTGCCAACAACTCCATTCTCTGGCTTACGTGGTGCTGCAGTGTATGTCATCGTGGGGCTCTCCTTAGGCTCAGAGAGGGGGACAGATGTCATGTCCTTCAGAATTTGTTTTATTTGACCAGTATTTACACATCACTGACCAGGTACCAGGCACTATTCTTAGTGATTTCCTATTATATTAACTCATTTTTAAAATTCCTTTAATCTTCCCAATGATTGCCATGAGGTATTGTTATTTCCATTTGGCAGAGAGGTTCAATAATTTGCTTGGTGGTGCACAGCTAATAATTGGCAGAATTGAAATTTAGACCTAGTAGGGGGATTCTAGAGTCCTTGCTTTTTACCACTGACCTCTGCTGTCTCTATGGTACCTGAATGACCCCTGGTGGATATTTGTTAGCATTTTGAGAAGGACATAAGTAAGGCTCAAGGCAAGCCAAGGGCTGATAAGATGTGGAGAGTGACTGTAAAAGGAAACTTACATTGCAGTATGGCTTGGATATGAGATGTCTGCCAAAAACTCCTGTGTTAATGCAGGAAGGAATGTTCAGAGGTGAAATATTTTGATTGGGAGGGCTGAACCTAATCAGTCTGTTTGAATGGACTGGGTTGTAACTGTAGGCAGGTAGGGCATGGCTGGAGGAGGAGGGTCACTAGGGCTAGGCCCTAGAAGGTTTCCTCTTTCCTGCATCCCCTTCCCCCTTCCCTCTTTGCTTCCTGGCTGCCTTGAACTGAGCAGCACTCCTCTGCCACGCTCTTCTGCCATTATATCAGCTTTACCTTGGGCCCAGAACCATGGATTCAGCTCCACCATGCACTGAACCTCTGGAACCACGAACCAAAATAAACTTCCCCTCCTCTGTTGTTCGTGTTGGGTAATTTTGGTCACAGCAAAGCAAAAGCTGACTAACACAGCAGGGGAGGGAAATTCTGGCATGTGAGATTCCTTCTCTCCCACTTAAGCAAGTGCCAGCCTTGGTTTGTGCTAAACCATATTCTCTGCCCACTGAAAGTGCTTGTCATTGCCTCCTTTCTGCCGCCCATGAGTCTAGATTTTTTTTTTTTGAGACCATATTTTTAAGTAAGTATTTATAAAGGAGTTTTTGCCAACATTATCTCTACAATTTCCTCCAAATAAACTCTTCCCCCGCGTCAACTGCCTACCAGGCATTTTCCTTAATAAAAAATGCAAAGGCTTTAACCAGCACACATCAATCAGTATACTGCATTGCTAAGCTGTAGATGTATTGAATGCATGTTCAGCTTACAGTATTTTCAATTTATGATGAGTTTACATGGATGTAACTCCATTATAAATTGAGGAGAAACTGAACCTAATTTCATGGAATTTCCCAAACAACTGCAAAGAAGACATCAGTCTTCATTTGATAGAAAAGGGAGGCACAAGTAACATGAGTTCTAAAGACTTATTGTACCTTATTTGCATTCACCCGGGAATATGACTTTTTTTTTTTTTTTTTGCAGTACTTAGGATAGAACCCAGGAGTGCTCTACCACTGAGTTACATTTCTGCTTTTTTTATTTTGAAATTTCACTAAATTGCCCAGGTTGTCCTCAAACTTGCAAAGTTCCTGCCTCAGCCTCCAGAGTTACGGGGATTATAGATGTGTGCCACTGCAACCAAATGGTTTATAACTTCTTCTTTTTTTTTTCTTTATTTAATTTATTTATTTATATGTGGTGTTGAGGATCGAACCCAGGCCTTGCACGTGCTAGGCAAGTGCTCTACTGCCTGAGCCACAACCCCAGCCCAGAATATAACTTCTTTATCTCCCAGTTAACAATGATTATGTCTTTCCCATCTCCCTCCTTATCATATTACAGACTCAGTGAGTTTTTCAAAGGGTTTCCTCCCCTGTATTCGTTTGGGACATCAAACGGCTAAGATGATGAAATACTGTAGTGATATAACATATGTGCCTCAAAACCTGTGGATTGCAACTTTTCAGTGAACTTTTATGATCATAGTGATTGCTGAGATCAATAGAGCACACACTGAGGCTAGCACTGACCTAAATGCTTGACATGCATTATCTTTTTTTTTTAAACTGAGAATTGAATGTTTTACCACTGAGCTACATCCCCAGTCCTTTTTATTTTGAAACAGATTCTTGCTAAATTGCTTATGGCCTCACTAAATTGCTGAGACTAGCCTCAAACTTGCAATTCTCCTGTCTCAGTCTCACAAGTCGCTGGGATTACAGGAATGCAATACCGTGCCCAGAAGCATGCATTTTTTTTTTTAAAGAGAGAGTGAGAGAGGGAGAGAAATAATTTTAATATTTATTTTTTAGTTATCGGTAGACACAACATCTTTGTATGTGGTGCTGAGGATCGAACCCGGGCCGCACGCATGCCAGGCAAGCGCGCTACCGCTTGAGCCACATCCCAGCCCCAAGCATGCATTATTTTATTTACTCTTCACAACCACAGTAAGAGGTAGGTATTATCATTGATATATTACAGATGAAGGAAAAGGCTAGAGAAGTAACAGAACTTACTCAAGATCACATAGCTATTAGGTGATGGAATCTGGATTCAAACCCAGGAAATTGGTCAGAAATTTTGAACTGCTGCAGAAGACCACATGACTTCTTCTAAGAGAAGTGTGATCAGTATTATGCACATTTTATTACCTTTAAAATTTTATTATGTAATATTTTAGATAGAAAAAGGTACATTATGCACAATGTTTCATTAGTGCAATATATAGATGTATGTTTGGCATACACACACACACACACATATATATATATATATATATATATATATATATATATATATATAATAGTTTTGTGCCACTTAATGACATGGGTATGTTTTAAGAAATGTGTTAGGTTATTTTATAATTGTGCAAACATTATAGAGTGTGTTATCACAAACCTAGATAGTATAGCCTACTAGGGAATGTAGCTCAGTGGTAGAGTGCTTGTCCAGCATGCACCAGGCCCTGGGTTCAATCCCCAGCACTGCCTCCCACCACCACCAAAAGAAAAAAAAAAAAGAATCACCTACTATATACCTGAGCTATAGGTAAAGCCACTGTGCTATATGCAGTCCATCATTGACCAAAATGTTGTTATGTGGGAAATTACTATATATCTATTTCCCAGTGTGTGCCAAGCATTAGGATGTAGTAACAAATTACCCCAGATGAAGAGGGTCAGGAGAAAGTTTAAGGCAATGTTAGAAAAATCAGTTACAGTTTATTATCCATTTCCACTTATGTGTCTAGCATTATCCTAGTCAAGAGAAGTATTAGAAGACCCTGCCATAAAATAAACCACATAGCCTAATGTGGTGGCTGCACCTGTAATCCCAGCCGTTCGGCAGACTAGGACTGGAGGATCACAGGTTCAAAGCCAGCCTCAGCAACTTAAGCAAAAAGCTTAAGTTTTTTGTAAGAAAACTTAAGCAAAAAGGTGGGGGCTCAGGGGATGTTGTCGGTGGTTAGCGCCCTTGGATTCAATCATTCCCGGTACCAAATAAAATAAGCCGCATAGAGGAAAGTCACTTAGTTTTGTTACCAAAAAAAAAAAAAAAATTGGTCTCTTTTTTTGTTTTTTGTTTTTGGTTTTTTTTTTGTACTGAAGATTGAACCCCAGCCTGTTTCTCATTTTTTAAATTTTGAGACAGGGTTTTGCTAAATTGTTCAGGACCTCCTTAAATTGCCCAGACTGGCTTTGAATTTGTGATTCTCCTGCCTCAGCTTCTTGAGAGGCTGGGATTACTGGTATGAGCCACCGCGCCTGGCCAATTGGTCTGTTTGTACAGCATAAAAACTAACATTTTATAATCGTATCTTATAGACATAAAGGCAAAAAGCAGGTACAGTGATGAGCTCTGGGTGGTGTACAGGGCCAGACCTTGGGAGCCAGTCATCCCATTTAATCAAGTATCTTCTGAAGGATATGTCTAATAAGATGGGGATACACTTAAAAACCAGGTAGGCAGGTTGCTGCCCTCCTGGGGCCTATCGTCTGGTGAGAACCCTGCTCTGAGTCATTGACAAGCTCTAGCTATGTGACCTTGGATAAGAAAATTCTCCGCTCCCAATTCTGTAAAATATATGGGGTTAAACCAGGGAATCTGGTACTCAAATCCGGTGACCAAAGAGTATCGCTGGCTGCTGTATTCATATAGGGGTGGGTTAGGCTCCCTGTCCCTGCGCTACCGCAAGCCTGACGGCGGGGGCGCTGTGCAGGCATGCAGAGCGTTTGCGTTCCGAAAGCGCGTGTCCCTCGCCGCATGCCGTCGTTCGCGCGGCCGCCACCGTCCGCGGAGCAGGAGGGGCGGAGCTGGCTCTGTCCGGGCTCCCGAGCGGGGAGGCTGCCCAGGAGGAGGTGCGGCGGGTCCCAGCGGCCGAGGTTCGGGCGGAGCGACTGGAGAGGCTGGCAGGTGGTGCTGGCAGCGTGGGGAGAGTGGCGCCGTGGGCTGGGCGCTCTTGGCCGGAGGAGTTCACTCCATGCGTGCGGGCCAAGCACGGCCCCTGCGAGCCGTCGACATGAAGAAAGACGTGCGGATCCTGCTGGTGGGAGAACGTGAGTCCGCGCGCCCGGGCTGGCCGCGGCCGCCCTTGTCCTTCTCTTGCCTCAGCCTTGACCCTCCTCGCCCCTCGCAGCTCGGCTGCCTCTCTGTGCCACCAGGCCTCCCAGCTCCTTCTCTCTTCCCTTTCGGCTACGCGCCGGCGGCCCTTATCCTCTCACCGCACCCGGGCCCTCCCCAGATCTCCCTTTCGTGTCCCCAATGCTCCTCGCAAGCCTCGTCTCCTTTATCCCCTAACGCCCGACCTCATCCCTCCGAAGGTCCTCTCATCCTGCTCCTCCTCGCGTCCTTTCCTCCTGGGCCTCAGCGCTTCCCAGGCCGCCTCCTTTCACCCTCTCTTCTTCTGTGGAGATTCCCTTGTCAGTCACTGCCTGGCAGATGCTGGAACAGCAGCCTAACCAATTGGGATTGCGGGAGCCGACTCCCGCGGAAGCTAGGGGGAGGGGTGCAGAACTATGCCACTTGGGGGCAAGGTCAGGTCTCTCTCTATCTCTCTCTCTCTCTCTCTCTCTCTCTCTCTCTCTCTCTCTCCCTCCTTTTTGCGCTCGCTGGCGGTCCTCGCTTTCTCGGTGCGTTGACTCAGAGCGTTGGGCTGTAGTCTAGCTTGGTGGTAGAGCACTTGCCTAACCTGCGCCAGGTCCGGGTGTTCGATCCCTAAGGCCGGGTGGTGGCGGCGGAGGAGGCGTTTCGTAGCGATCCTTGTGCTTTGTATGGGAGTAACTCCTGGTACTGGACATTTACTTTCAACTTCACGTTATCCAAGTACTCAATTAGTAATAATTATCTGGGGAGAGTCCGTTAGTTGAGTCAATGATAGTTACCCTAAAACCTAATTCTTCCTACTTTTTTAACCATTCTTTATTCCACGACTACTTGGTAGTTAATTTATAAATATCAGCAGGCATACAAGACTCCAGCAGGTATATAAACACACAAGACCCGCTCCTTACCCCAACCCCGCGAGATTCTAAGATTTCACTTTTTGCCGATATAATAAAGGAGAGATGCTTCTGCTCGGTGACATATAGATAGAACAGCAGGGACTTTTCTTATTTTTACTTTTTTTTTTTTTTTTTTTTTTTTTTGGTATTAGGGTAAACCCAGGGGCACTCAACCACTGAACCACATCCCCAGCCCTTTTAGAGACAGGGTCTCGCCGAGTTACATAGGGCCTGGCTAAATTGCTGAGGCTGGCTTTGAGAACTCACGATCCTCCTGCCTCAGCCTCGGGAGCTGCTGGGATTACAGGCATGTGCCACGATGTCCAGCAGCAGGGACTTCTTAATACCATTGTGTCAGTTACATCACTCAATTGCCAGGATTAAAATATAAAGAAAGTAGGCTAGGGAGGGCTGGAGTTGTTTGGTTTTGAATCATTAATTAATGCTCCATTGCTGTTTTTTTAAACAGGGATTGAACTCAGGGGTGCTTAGCCAGTGAGCTACACCCCCAGCACTTTTTATTTTTTATTTTGAGACAGGGTTTCACCAAGTTGCTAGGGCCTCGCTAAATTGCTGAGGCTGGTTTTGAACTCATGATCTCCTGCTGAGCCTCTGGGATTACAGGTGTGTGCCATTGCATCTGGCTGCCATTGCTGATTTTAAGCATTTTTTTTTTCCCTAAACTACGTTACATATTTGAGGTCTCTGCTATGTGCTCTGGAAAGTTAACATATTTTTACTCTCTGAATTGTTTGTTGAAATTTCTGTTCATCTGCTGTTTGGAGATATCTTCCTTTAGAATCAGAATTTGGAAGCAAGCTTAGCCATAGTTTATGTTTAGTTTGCAGTTAATGAATTTTAAGTTATAACTGTATTTAATTGTATTTTTCATGGATTTTCTTGATAAATTTCAGAAAGGTGTTATTTAACATGATTCATGAAGATGCATTTGGAGCAAGATTAGAGAAAGTGGGTGACTTGCTTAGAAAGCCGATCCTTAACTGTATCTTGAAATGGGTTTATAGTACAGTAATTTTTATGCTAATTTTTAGAAAAAGAAAACTCTGGTTGGGGATGTAGCTCAATGGTAGAGTGCTTGCCTTGCATGCTATCATCTACAAGGCCTTGGGTTCAGTCCCCAGCTCTGGGGGAAAAAAGATCCTAGGTTTAGTTTTGAATATAGGAAGCAATTCCACATTGTTGGTATATAAAAGATCTAAATAGAAATGTTGCCAATAGGGGCGGGGGTTGTGGCTCAGTGGTAGTTGCTGACCTAGCAGTGGGAGGCCCTGGGTTTGATCCTCAGCACCACATAAAAATGAATAAATAAATAAAATAAAGGTATTATGTCCATCTACAACTAAAAAAAAAATAAATATTACAAAAAAAGTTGTCAATATGTAAGATACATCATCAGCCTTCAGACATTTTGGTTAAAACATTAAAGGTGTTGTTTATTTAGAAATATGTAAAATAGGGACTGGGGTGGTAGGTCAGTGGTAGAGTGCTTACCTCCCATACGTGAGGCACTGGGTTCGGTTCTCAGCACCACATATAAATATATAAATAAAATAAAGGTCCATCAACAACAAAAGAATATTTAAAAAAGGAAATATGTAAAGTAATTCAAATATTTGTTACAAAAATCACAAGCTGTATTCTGTAGAAATGAAAGCAAGTAAAAGAGTTGATAAAACTATATATTAGAGTTTTCTGATTACAGGGGGAAACTTGACACAAGACAAAGTCTTGTGTTTTGAAGGTGATACTTAAAGAGGTTGAAACCAAAAGCTTTAGGTCATCTACTATAAATAAATAAATAAATGTAAATATTCATTTTTGAAATATTAGAAATAGAGTACATTTAATTAAAGTATATAATTTTATTTAGTCATTAAAAAAGCTGATGTTTGGGGGGAAATATTTGAGACTTTATTTTTGGAGATTTAAAGTAAGTATCTGTCAGTTGTTAGCTCTTTAAGTGTGACCAAAGCTATTTTAATATGGATCTGATACATGGATTTATCTATACTACTAATATTAGAAAACAGTGGTAGCAATTTGAATTATCACTTGCTTACTTAAGTGAGCATAGTTTTCAGATGCCAAGGCGAACAGAAAAGTAAAGAAAATGGAGCATCCTCTCTGGTATTATTGTTTTAAAGCTTGTTCTTTCATTCTGTATCACTTTGTTACATTTTATTGCTGTCAGTTTCTGTCCCTGAACCGTGCAGTAGCAGCTTCATTCACTGAAGTTCTGAAATAGTTATGAGTACTTTCAACATTCTATTAGCTAAACCATTCTACTGTACTGTTGAGGTGCAATGGATCTTTTTTTGGCCCACTTCTGATTTATCTAGGCTTTAATGCTAATTGCTTAATGTTTATTTAGCTTAGATCAAAGAAGTTTGTCTCTCTATACATTTTAGGTATTTGTTACAGAGAAAGTGAAAGTGTCTTAAATGTAATATGTATCTTAGCTTAATTATTGAACATAGCAAATGCTATTCAGACCAGACCAGAAGTCAATTACTATTTTTAAGCCAAAATAAAAATTTAAAAATCTTTAAAAATACACTCACACAGAACTCAGTTCTTCAGGGCATAATTTTTCATGGTCAATTTGTTGGCTAGAATTTATGCTTAACTAGATTTGCTTTAGTATACTTAACAGGTATCCTTGTTACAGTAGAATTAGCAAGCACTGTATTACCCTTTTATCTAAATCATGTTGCTACATTAGTAGATTAATGAAAGCTTGAGATATATTTGTCTTCTACTGGTAAAAGTCATTAAGAAAATGGAACTGTTATTTTGTTTTCCAAAGAATCTGGTACCTCTAACCTGGTTTGTCTTACCTAATTTATCTCCCCAACTTCCCAAACTAGTTCAAGCTTCAGTTGTTGTGGCCTAGACTTTTGCAATATCTCCTTAACTGGTCTCCCTCCTACTTTTGTCCATTCTCCGTGAAGCAGGCAGAATCACCTTCAAAAAAAATCTCAGATCTTGTTACCCATTTTAAAAATTCTACTTTCACTTAAAGCCCAGACTTTTTAAATGCAGGTCTCCGAGACTCTTAACAATCTTGCCTTTGCTTCACTCTCATGCTACTCTCCTTCATTGATTTCTCTACAAGTAGGCCCTGATTTGGGAAATATCCTCATTACCGAATGTATTTACTCATTTGCTTTCCTGTTTCTCGAAAGAAAGCTTCTTGAAGGCATGGGATTTGTCTTATTTGTTCCTCTCTCTCCAGCAGCTAGAACAGACTTGGCACAAAGTAAGCATTCAAGTGTCTGTTGAATGAGTTCCTTTTTCCAAATGACTCCTCTCATTCATAAAAATGTGATCATTCCCCTTTTCTCTCTTTTTAAAAAAATTTTATACTTTTATTAGTGCATTATAGTTGTACATAATTGTGGGGTTCTTTGTGACATATTCATACGTGCATGTACCATAATTTGCTCTATTTCATTCCCGCATACTTCCCCTTTCCCTCCTTCTCATCTCCTTCCTCAATTCTACTGGTTTTCCTTCTATTTATTTATTAATTTATTTTTAATTGGTGCATTATAATTATTCATAGAATGGGATTCATTGTGATACATTTATACATGCACATAGAATAAATAATTTGGTTGATTTCATTTCACAGTCTCTCCCCTTTCCCACCCTTCCTCTACTGGTCTCCATTCTATTTTCATGAGATCCCCTTTTGAAAATTCCTAATTTCCCTTTAGCTTCTGCATCATTCTCCTTTCTTAAATCCAGGCTCATGTAGTCATTGTTATGATATGAAGGAGTAGCATTCTTCCAATTCTCTCCTTTTGTGTCCTTAGCTCATGTGTGTGTGTCCCCATCCCATGTGATGCTGGGGATTGAACTCAGGGCTTTGAGCATGCTAGGCAAGTGCTCTACCACTGTGCTACATCCCAGCTCCTTAGAGTTGCTTGGGGCTGGAGTTGTGGCTCAGTGGTAGAGCACTTGCCTGTCATGTGGGAGGCACTGGGAGATTTCTGTGTTCTGGCAGTAAAAGTAGACCAGTGAGTTAGGAT